CCCACCGGGCGTTGAGTGGTTGATTACGTTAGTTACTAACCTTTATGCTTCGATTTATTAGCGCCAAGCAGGAATCTTGGCATTGAGGTAAAAGAGAAGTATTTTATCGGGCTGAACAGCATGAGAATCGCTAAACTACAACACATCTCGAAGGTTTCTCTCAACAGCTGTTCAAGATCTAAGTCACCTAGCAATCGGCTTGCATTCATATACGAGAGCGAATTGGCGTTTCCCCCGCACCGCTGGCCTCCTAAAACTATGCCTCCAAAAGGTGCTCCAACACGCATAAAACCACTACATTTGCAGACAATCCAGAAACTGCGAGTTAAGAGCCCGAATACTCATCAAGCAAACCCATGTCTTGCTGCCATGACAAGCGTTCTGAGTCAGCCCCCCACCTCTCTCGTTTTTACCGCAATTGCATACAACTTTCTTGTCTCATTTTGGGCAAGTGAGGGAACGAAAGAGATTGTGAAACTGGGCAACATATACTAATATGTATGGCTATTTTTTGGTGGCTTTTAGGTTGTTGGGCTTCAAACCGATCGGCGGGCAGCGGATGTTTCGCTTTAGAACAACAATTAAGAACCTGTATGGATAATGGTGTATGTTCCTTGGTCATCCGTTTCTCCATTGCGCTGCGAGCAAACCCCAACTCCTTCATTTTCCTTTATTGTATTCTATTTGATCTTTTGAGTGGCAAGGACAATAGTTGGCTAATACAACAGCATTTAATGGATTGTAGAAACCACAACGGAAAGGCAAGAGCACGATCAATTACCACCTCATGCGAATGTTTCCCAAGATATCGGGACCGAGAAAGAAGGACGGCGTGTTTCACTGAGCTTCTACTTACACATCTTATATTCGGTTCTGCTCCATTTTCGCTAGAGCTTCTAGTTATTTTATGTCAGCACATTTCATCTTTTGTATTATATCTAGGTCCCCTCGAACGAACACGGTGAGGTTACTGGGTAGCCCAGGATTCCCAAGCCTGGCTTTAGTTTTGTTTGTTCTATACGGTTCAGAGAAATCATTTGCGACTGTATGAGTTGCCATGTGCTATGTTGCACAAGATGCTCCAATCGAGTGTTGGATTATCTGGCCAGGTGCAAGGAGAGCGAAAAAACGAGGATTCTAATACCATCTGCAAGATAGCTGGATCATCTTATACAAGAAATTGCTGCCCTTCTTTTCTTGTGGATTTTCAGAATCAAAAGGGTCATGTATGATTCATCCACGTCACGTCATTCTTCGTTGATTTACAGGAAGAATTTCATGACCCCATACTTGAGTCAAAAATTCACTAGTTGAGGTAAAACAAAGCCCGTTACCATTGATCCTGGCGGATTTTAGCAGCTTATCAAAATACAAATTTCCACCACCCTCGCTGGACTGATGCATAAACAGGACTGCGAAAAGGTAGACAAGATGGGATATTAGACGAAGACCATTGGCCGTCAAACACGTTCGAATTTCAGTACCAATCTGTTGTTGGATGGCCGGACAGTGTATGCATCGATAGGCTCAATGCCATCGTCATCGATAATCTTGCTTGTGAAGTTCGAATAGATTGCAGCTACGACGAGTTTTATTTCTGATTGGGGCAAAAACAGCGTTATCCTTGCTGTCCAAAAGGAAACAAGATGGATTCGTTTGGGGGGAGACGATTGGGGGTTTAATCACAACTTACCCTGCAGGGCTAAATTGCTCCCAACACACATCCGTCCGCCGCTCCCGAATGCCCATAACCACCGCCTCATGTTCCCCAATTCCACCGAATCCATTGTTTTGAGCCATCGGTGAGGTTAAAACGATCCTGGGTTTGGGAAAACATCGGGGTTCTGATGGGCTGAGTATGCTTGCGCATTTACTCGAGTTTTCCGAGGAATTTTCATCGTATCCCCGCGAGAGTTGTAGATGCTGCTGGCGGTTATTGGGGGTGGTGTACCTGGGATCGGAGACTGGAGGCTAAACCGTTTCCTCAACGGATGCACCCCAAAAGTGGGAAAGCTTCGATAGCTTTTGGGGGGCGG